GTTTTCTATTTGGTTTCCAAAGCAGTTCTCGGTATGAGATATATGCATCTTCTGTAAAATAAAATTCATGCTTTAGAGACTTTTCAGACAGTACCTGCAGGCATGGTTCTTGCAAAGACAAAGTTGGAAGCACTGCAGCCAAGGGTCTCCGCTTCATGGTTGCAGCTGTGAATATCAATCCGGTAAAGAGTAAAAGGCTGGAGGTAGGAGATCACAGTCCTCTCCTTGCCTTCCACTTTGGTCTCATAGAAGGGGTACTCCATTTCGCTCTCCTCCACATCAGAAGCATTAGCAAAGTGATCAGTCCCTGTCGTGTTCCTGTTCCTACTGGCAAGAGTGGCATTTGCAACTCGAAACACGTCCCTGCGCTTCCGGTCAGGTCTGCAGAGCAAAAGTATATGTAGAAAAGGGTCCATTGAATATGTTAACTTGTAAAGCCAACCCCACAAAAAGGGAAGAACACTGTGAGACAGGAGATAGTAATCTAATTGGCTTCAGAGATGAAAAAAAAGTACAGAAGAATGAAAGGAGGAGGAACTGCAAAGTAATAGCAAAGAAGTTCATTTCTTGGTGTGAATATGCTGTATGCTTAGAAAACCCTTTAACTGTCCACTTCAGAAAGATCAAAACAATCTTTTAGGCCCCAATTCTGTCCCAAGTGAGTGTGCAGACTTCCACTGACCTCACCAGAGCTGACGTGATGCTGAATGGCAAATATGAACCCACAATTATTAAAGAAGCAAATCTGATTTGTATTTGATTTTGCTGATGCTGGAGGGAAAAAGAAACAACCAGAAGTCACAGATTTAAAAGCTTAGGAAGAAAACGAATCTATTGAATAAGCAAGAACTGTAAGCCTCCTAGGTTCCATCATAATTTTTTAGTTAGGATGAAATTATTATAGTTAGAAGTTTCTTAATTTGTTGTGTTGAGGAAGCAGACTGAAAGTTAACAGCTGTGCACTTTTGACGATTGTACTCCTTCTATACTACACCTTTCTGTAGCAAGGCCTGTACCAATGGCCAACCTTCTGACTTTAGAAAAATCAGCATGGTAATACAGGTGTGTATTGCAAAAGAGTCCACTGAGCAGCTTTTGGGACTCAACAGCCCACAAGTATTTCTATACAGGGGAAAAAAAGGAAAGCTAAAATTACCAAATAAAAACTTATAGAACTGGCTTGTAAGAGCCCATGTTGTAAACTGTCGCTGTGGAGACAAACACACACACACATCTAGAGTCAATCTCTGCACCGAATTAAAAAGCGTGCAATCTGTTTCAAGTCCGAGGATTGTCAGTGGAGAACAGACCTATTTGTCAGTTGTTGCTAAGGAGAAAAAATGCAAGCGACTGAACGACTCCAACTACAGCACATCACTGGTCCGGAAGAGGTGTCACGCGCTCTTCAGTTTGGGGTTTCTCTACACACAAACCTGGACCGCAGAAGTAAGCTGACAGTTTCCTGATTCAGTCCTGGTCACCGAAGTTGTCGTGATTTCACTCTGAATGAGCAGAACACCCAGAAAGCAAGGTGACTACGACAAATCAGCAGAGAATCTATACCAGAGATGTCTCCTTCATTGTGCCACCTCTCACATCCCATATACGACTGCCTAGTACTAGGGCCACTGCTGGGTCTATTGATTATAATGGTGACGGTAATGATTTCAACGCATCCCTGATCCAAGACACGAGAATTGGAAACTGAGCGAAAAAGTACCCCGTCAACATGGAAACACATTCATTCAACCCAGCTCATCCTAGAACAAAGAGCCGTAGCCTACTCCGCCCTGTGGAAAAAGAGCTGCAGCGCTGCAAGTTTACTCGGGTCAGTTTGTTTAGGAATCTATAGGCAGAAGCTGGATGAAGCTTTAAGGTTCAACAAGAGAGTTTCTAAAATCCTGTGGTTGTGGCAGCATACACATTAAATCACCCACAGCATAGACAGCAGATAAGGCAAAGGATCCCTTTGTTAACTGACAACACAAACACCCCACGTGATCTACCTAACCAAGTCACACTCTGGCCCAAATGGGAGAATTTCCTACTGAACAAAGCATAAAGCCCTCATCTGGATGTAAGGAAGAACTTCTTCACTGGCCAAGCCCCCAAGGCCTGAAACAGACTGCCGCCAGAGGTGGTGCAAGCACCTACTCTGGACTCCTTTAAGAGACATTTGGACGTTTATCTTGCTGGGATCCTTTGACTCCAGCTGACTTCCTGCCCCTGGGGCGGAGGGGCTGGACTCGATGAGCTTCTGAAGTCCCTTCCAGCCCTAATGTCTATGAAATCTCTCTGACGATACCTACTGAAAAGGCTAGATCTAGCAGTGCTGTGAGTAGGCAAAGCCATCATTCATTCCCTCACTCTTCCTCAACAGTACGAGAACTTTTTGGACCATACGGAAGCACAAGGATATCTAGCCCTGAAAGAGAACATTGCACAGTGTTGGGACAAAGACATGAGATTCAAAATATTTTTAAATTAAAAATAATAATAATCAACCACCAAGGTACATGTCAACATAACAGCACATCGTAGTGATCAGAGGGCTGAAAGGCACTGCCTTACCTACCACTGCCTTTATAGGATGCATAAAGATTTGCTCTATAGCAGTCACTAAAAAAAAAAAAAAAAATGTAAAACAGGGTGCTACACTACCTTCAGAAAAAATAAATTATGGATACAGAATGTGCGGGCAAAAAAAATAAAATAAAAAAGATATAGTCACGTTAGGGAGAGACAGAGACCCACAGATTAACCACAAGGCAAACATAACTAAAATACTGAGGGACTGGACATCAATGACTTTCTGTCAAGCAACTGGCTGTTTTGCTGGAACACCCAAATGAGGAAAAAAATAGTACCCGAGAAACAACTTAGGCAGCCAAAAATAAAAGCAGATCTTGAGGTAAAAGGACATGAAAATCCACCTAGCCGCCAAGTGAAAGAAAAGAGCAAAAGATAAGGAAATAAAAACCAACCTGAATGGAAGGGGAAAAGAGAAAGAAAAAGAAAGTGACAACTTAGTGCAAAATCCAATTGCTCTTCCATCTTGGGCTCATTTGAAAAGTTACGGTATCCAAGAAGCACAGGTTTACTCTCTCTCTGCACTAGGGAATCAAGGAAAAGGGGCAAAGTAATGGTTCCCACAGTGCTGTAAAAGCAGCTTCAGCAGTACAAGTGGTTCTGTATGTACCCATCCTACCCTAGATGTGTTGGGTTACCGCAAGTTTATTAGTAAACTTGATATTACTGCAAGTTTTGAAGTAACCTGAAAACCACGTGGTCCGATTCTTTTATTTACTTGCTGTACTTTTCATGATGTCCCAAAGACCGGGAAGGTCCAGGTAGAGTCCTGGAAGCACAACCTCATTTAATGAGGCTTGTGTTGACATATGAATCAACTCCCCCCCCCCGGGGAAAGAAAAGGAAAAAATAGACATCTGCAAGGAACAAGTCGCTTAGGTTTGTCCCAGAGAGAAACCTCGCCAGGTCATAATCTCACATTTCCCTGACATTCAGATTTCTTAAAAGCCACTTAATTCCTCTGCTACATGTCTTGGATCCCATCTGCCACCCCTGTTATATCAGTGAAAAGAAGGGAGTGTGTGTGTGCTTGTGCATGTGCACATGTGCACTCCACCTCCTCCAATTCTAAAAGCAAATAAGCTGGGGTAGGGGCCGTGGAGGGTTTATAGTAAAGCACCCAGCATGTGTTGTTCCACTTAAAATCTTAGAAAGGTCCAATATAGGGGTAAAAATTGTTAATAATTTGTTCAAGCTTCCTTTCTTCTTTCTCTTCCTCAGGTCCAGGAAAGTTTATCCCATGCAAACTTAGTAAAGCTGTTCAAATGACAAAGCTCAAGCCAAACACATTTTTTCCTCCGTAAAACTAATATTGTGCGACCTTTGGCAAGGTACAACTTGCAAATGCCTTTCAGAGACTCCTGGGCCAAAGCCACCTCTTGTTTACATCACATGGACTGCTCACGACCAACACGCGCCGTAACCGGCCAGCCTGTTAACGCATCAGTAGCTAACGCTACCTCCGGATGGCGTCTGAAACGCAGCACAAGTCAACGCAAGAATTCAACAATTCCACTAAAAGGCAGCACTATTTATGGCTTGTATTCTGACAGTCCCTGCCCCAAAAGAGCTTACAGTCCGACACGTCCCTAAATAAAAATACTAAAGATGAAGCTAGTGAAGAGAGTAGGCTTTCCGAGACTTAGCTTTACTGTCTCAAAAGACTTCACATTAGAAGTCCCTTAGACGCTGATTTCCCATCATACTCCGGCCAGGAGAGCCAATGAGGCTCCATGTGTGATCAAAATCTGACTGCTTCCATAGCAATACAGCATTTGTACACAGTGTGCTGGCTCCATACTCCAATTATCTGAAGTAAAAACAACTCACACACAAGGTAAATTAGAAACTCAAGTATCAAACCACTGAAGAATTCAATAGTATCTGCTCCAAGACACCATATAAAATGCAGTTCAACTGGTAAGCCTCCATTAACATGTAAACAGCAGCCTTCACCATAGAAGAGAAAGTACAATTAATTCCCAGCTGCTGAAAGAGCCCTGGAAACTTAACACTCTCCATAATTAGTGCAGATATGAATTAGAAAGGGCAACCATTTTTAATTCTACAAGGCATGAGTACTCCTTTAATTTCTAAGGCCAGATTAAATCTTCATGATGACTTACCCAAGTACTTAAAAGGGGGGAGGAGGGGAGGAAGAGAGAGAGATCATGTTTGAAACCAGTTGTCTGCCATGTAGTGCTCATCTCTGAAACCCTTATAAGCGAAGAATTGCTTAAGTGACCCTTGATTCTACTAAGGAACAATCGCAAAAAGGCCCTTGAACAATACAGGTAAGGACCCTTGCGATTAGCTAAAATAGGGAGAGGCACGTAAAAATTAGTAGAGCCTTGGAGAAGCAGGACAACTGCAAATTGCCTTGCTCCTTGTGAGGCAATGTTCTGACACGTTTCAGGTGTTATCCAAAGATGCTTTCAAGTTTAAAAATGCCTTGAGCCAAAGGAAATCTGTAGCAGTCCCCCAGTCAAGGGAAACCTGTATCATTCCCCCAGGCCAGGACAGCTAAAAGCCAATGTCTCTTACCTGGGGACAAAGATGGAGTTATGCAGGAAGTTCTCAAAGACTTTCCGGTACTCTGCCTCCTCCTTCTCTGCTTGTTTTTCTGCTTCTGTCTTGGGACAGGCACAGCAAGGTCCTTTCTCTCCCCCACAGCCCTCTGGCTTGGTGGGCTCAGTAGCTTCTTCTGTATCAATGGTCCCATCTGCATATCTCCGAATAGGGACTTTATCTTGAGAAGAAATAAGTAGAGATTGTTTCCCCCCCTAACATTACAAATGGGTACAGTAACAAACGATATTCAACCCCTCCACCTCCATTTGCCATTATTCATAGACATGATGAAACGGGGAACTGCAATGTGCACATGAATGGTCAAGCTTTGACCCATGTGAATAATGCAAACTGATAAGTATGCATCTAAGGCATTTTAACACAAACCTACTTTCCACTCCCTTACCTTTGGAGCAGTAGTTGTGCCGGTAAAGGTAACTGTCCTGGGGCTGTTGTTGCCATCGAACAATATAATAAGACAGGTTGCCATTGGGGAGAGAGGGTGGATTCCATTTCACAATGAGTTGGGAAGAAGAGTTGGATGCGGAAATAACATCCAGAGGGATAGACGGCACTGGGGAAGGGAAAAAAAAAAACACAGGCATAATCCATAAGGATAGATTTTTGGGGGAAGGCTGAGAAGCCAACAATCCCCAGTTAATCATTTTGAAAAAATTGCTCATCTCACAATGGGAAAAAGCATCCATAATTTCCCTATAAGCTTACGGAAGTGAACGTATTAAAAGCCACAGAGCGACAACCTGAAGTTGCATTTGATAACATTAGTTGACCTCAATGGATCAAAACTGGCAATCTTCACTCCAGGAGATCTTCCACTAATTTTCGCTGGGAACACCACCTAAATAATGGCCCCAGAACTTGGACTGGAATCTGTATCTGTATAAGCCGGGGGTCCAACCCTTTTGAATGTGGGGCCCGATCATGAACTTTTTATCACCCATTGGGTCAGCGAGCTATATTCATATTTTATCACCCTGTGGAGCCGTATGTTGGACAAGCCTGAAATAAGACAAAGCTGGCATAAACCCCCACCTGTGCTCAGCTAGTGACAAACTACAGCAAATGATGTCCTGAACCAGTCATCCCAACAGCTGGGGCCCCCTTCTGCCTACTATGACCACCATTTGAAGGCAGCCCCAGAAGATATTTGACAGCTGTGTTAAAATATGTGACCAAACCGATGTAGCCGGTGCTCTCACGCAGGCCAAGGGGCTGCCTATGCCACTGCTTCCCCAAGCCTTGCCCACACCAGCAACACGGCTGCCCAAAGTCTTGGCAGTGCTCGGGCAGACGTGGCTGGGGACCAGCCAACGCGTGAGATGGGGGATGACAGAACTGCGAGAGCGAAGCCAGTTCCCAGCCTGGCAGGGTCTCAGGCCTGGTCTGCCCAGGGTGGCTCCTGGTGGTGGAAGGCCTCGGGGGAACATGGGCCACTCCGCTTCTCCATGCTTCCCTGCGGCAAAGGCAAATGGCCCCCGGGAGGGCGCAGGCAGCCGCCACAGCAGGAGAGCAGAGCCCAGCCCAGCTGCAGGGAGTGACAATCCCTCTCCCCCCTCCCGGGCCGTCCCCCGAGCAATGCAGCCTCATGAGCCGGTGCTGCCCAAGGTGGGCCGGAGCGAGGTGGCCGCTGCACCGCAGCCCCTCGCTCGCCCCCCTGCATGGCCCTGCTCACCATGGTGCCCAGCCGCCCATGCACGCAGCTCCAGTGGCCTCAGCGCTGCGAGCCCAGAGGACACGGGCTCCCACCACCTCGCCCTGCAGAGGTCACGCCAGGACCCCACCTGCCGAGGCTCCCCTGGGGCTGCCCTGCCAACTGCCTGTGCCAGGCGCTGTGACCCGTTCCCGCCTGGCGGGTCCTGGGAGGTGGGCAGGATGCCGGGGGCAAGGAGCTGAGCCAGAGACAAGTAAAAGCAGGCACTGTCCTCAGCTCGTCCCGTCAGACGCAGCCGGGGCAGCCCCATGCCGCGCAGCCCTCAGGGCGGCAGTAGGACCTGGCTCACGTGATGTGGGAGGTCACGCGAGTCTGGCTCCATGGGGGTGAGCAGCTCCCCCACCTGCCTGTCCCAAGCGAGGGACCTCAGGCCACAGAAAATGGCTTGGTGGGCTGCACATTGGACAAGCCTGGTATAAGCTATAGTTAATGACACTGCAATTTTCTTAGTCTATGTAAGTCATAGAAATTTCAATTCATATAACAGCAGAATATGCTTTTCAGTTGCTACTTGCTAAATGAAGCAACTATCTACAAAGCTATATCAATTTAGTTTGGTTTCACATGAAAAAGTACAAATGGCACAACTTTCAAGGTGCCGAGAGAACTTCTGAGAAAATCCACAGCAACAAACAGCCTCAACTGCATGCCTACAGAAACACAGAGCCCTTTCTTGAGGCAGAGTCTTCTAATCTGTAAATTCCCTCCTTGTCTATTTATTGTCAGTATATGCATCAGACACTTCGTGCATTGCTGCTGTTGTGTTATATGAACAATGGCCAGTTATTTTCAGCTAACATTTGTGCAAAATATATAGAAAAAGTAAAATATGCAGAATGGGTCTTTTCTTAGTTTTGAACAAACAAAAAGTTTAGTTGTTTCTGCCTGCACTCAGTACCGTCATGGCCTTGTTGAATTCAAGACTGAAGAACAGTGATAACCTTTCAAGATTTTACTTTTTTGTATCATTTCAAAAGATACATGGCTCCTGAATGATCAATAGTGCAACATGATCATTTCACCAATATGGCATTACCACCTTAAGCATTTGTAGACCTCAGTGTCTCCACAAACTTGCTCCAATACAGAATTATTTTGCATGTACTAGAAAAATCACTGTCTACAGGATCAGCCAGATTTGCTTTAGGAGATCCAGGGCAAAAAAGTATTTTCAAATGTCACAACTTTTCTTTTTCTTTCAATATACTCAGGGTTTAATGCACTTGGACTGCCGTTCTGAAATAAAATAATTTTTAACATAACTGAGACTAACATGAACATTTCCAAGGTAAACAAGATGGCTCAATATTTATTGCCCTCCAAAAAACCAAACATGTAAGCTAGTCATTCATGCAGAAATGAAAATGATGGCCAACAGCTAGACAGAGCCAGAACCTGACTTTAGAGCACCAGAGATTCACCCCCATTGTCTCAAAAACTGACATATTGAGCCATTTTGTTTTTCAGTTACTCAACACAGATGCTCTGCTATTTGAAGGTTTATAAAACACATTTTGGAAGCTTGAGGGCACCAGGTTGAGCAGAAGGGAACAAGTTCACCCTGTGCTGTGCTATAGTACCAAGAACTGGGTGTTAAGAACAAGCATACTACAGTCTTATGCAACAAGAGCTTTGTGCTCCTCTCTGTACCTGGAAAGGAGATTCTTGCCTACTCTCACTGCTGTATTTTCAGCAAAAAATCTAAAACAGATACTGACCGTAACAAAGTACAATATTCTTAAAATTGCAACCGACACCCAGGAAAAAGCCAACTTATTAAATGGGTACTTTGCATCAGTCTTTCATCAGTCCCATGGGATAGTTTCATCGTTTCTAGGGTCGGAAGGGACCTGAGCAGATCATCTAGTCCG